CCCTCGTTCGCAATCACTAGAATAACAGGGTTAAGCGCGGGTTGGGGGGGGGGTTTGTCTTTACGTTTTTATGTTGATGGGCATGGTGTCACTACGGTACAAAACCGGTTTATAGTAGCTATATTTATCTAAAGTAGACTATAAAGTAGTTTAAGTATAAGAAGTAAACCTAAATAGGGTTTACTATACTATATATTCTATAAAGGTAAACTACTTTTTAGTTTATATATTATTAGTATTATATATATTAACTTTAGTATCTATTTAAATATAGTTTATATAATATACCTAATTATAGGTTATATAGTAGATAGATATATAGCACCTAGGGGGAAAATTTAGTGTAGATAGAGGGCACGTAGTAGGCATGATTTAGTAGGGTTACTATACAGGAACTAGTACTAGTAGATACCTAGGCAGTATAGGCGTGTAGTATACTACTACCTAGGTACACTATAACAATAACTAAGAGACTAGGTAGTATACCTAGTATATAAAATTACAATCTAAAATATCCTATAATAATAGGTTAGTAAGTTCTATAAAGGCGCCTATTATAACAACACTCCTATATTATAGTGTAGTAGTATTACTAAAGATTATACTCTATATTATAAATATTCTAGGGCAAGTTAGTTACTTACACTATATATATTATAGGTTTCTTTAGTAGTATATTAGTTTAAAGTTAGGTATATATATATATTATTATATATACTATATTATATATAGTAGTAAAGGGGTAGTATAATATAGTAAGCTTGTGTAGTATAGGATATATAGTAATATTATATTATATTATTTATATATACTAATACTATACATATATATTATTTAACTTATATAGTTAGGACCCTCTTATATTATAATTATCTATAAACCTAGACGCTATTATTACTATTACTATTATTTAGCTCTCCTATACTACTACTATCTATATAAGGGGCATCTATAATAGATACTCTAGTTTATATTAGAGACTACTATAATTTTAGGCCTTATACTCTAGAAGTATTTCTCTTATTACTATTACCTTTAGCTTTAGCTTTAGTTATATAGTTACGCCTAGCCTTTATATTCCTAATATATATATTCTTACAAGTCTATATTAGTAGAGTAGAATCTAAAGTCTTTATTAGAGAGTCTATAATAGTATAAGGTTAGTGTTATTACGTATCTAGTAGTATATTATAGTTATCTTCTATAGGCGTGTTTTTATAAGTATCTAGAGTAGAATTATTTAGTTAGGCTAGTATACTATATAAATAGGTTTGCTTTTATAGTCTTATATCTAGCTATACTAGTACTTGTTATAATCTAACACTACTAGCTAGGGGTATACTAACTATTAGGTTAGAATACTAACCCCTAAAAACACTACTATTGCTATCCTAGGCACCCTAGTCTTTAAAGCTAGTAATACTACTAGTATATTTAGATTAGGGTAGATATTGTCTTTATATATATTTAATAGGATAGGGTAATACTAGCTTACTTATAGCCTATAATAAGTCTTAGTTTAAATATTAGGGAGTATTACTATAGAATCCTAACTAGGCTACTATATAGTTATAGTATATACCTAAACTACTATAAATAAAGTTAGATATTAGCTACTAGTATCTATATAGACCTCTGCATATAATAGACCTCCCTAGGCTAGGGCCTTATAGGATAGCAAACGTTTAAGTAATTAGGGTAGTAATACTATTACCTAGTATAGTATAATTATGCATAATAGCTCCTTTATAATAGTAAGATTAGTATATTTAAAGAGGTAGATAATATACTTATATTTTAGTTTAGAGTATTAGTTCTTATTCCTATATATCTAGGTCTACTATATAAGCTATTTTAATACCTATACTCTATTAAAATATCTAAAAAATAGATACTTAGTAAGGATAGTATCCTATATATTAGTCTAGTTAGAGTTAGAAATATAGCTAAATAGTTAGTCTTAGATTATATTAAAGTATATATCTATAGCCTTGTAGATATATTTATTAAGGTTATTAATACCCTTCTTACTAACTATAAACGTGTAGATCTATAGGGCAAACACTTTAGGCGTATATATTGCTACCTACACTATAATTAGATTATTACTTGCTAATTTTAGCTATAGGCAGACACTATATAGTTCTAGTATTTTATATAAATAGGATCTTAAATCCTATATTAACTATAGGATAGTGTTAGGAATAAAGGTAGTATTTATAGTAGATAAGGTTATAAGTAAAGCTAATATATTATAAATATATTATTATAGATAGAAAGGGTATATTATTATATATAACTTGTGCACTTATTATATTATAACGCGCACTAGTATTATTACTATTGCTTATAATATATTATCTTTAGCTGCATCTTTATACTAATATACTTCTATAATATAGTTATTAAATAATAAGTTATTGTACTATAGTTATGCTATATTAGTATAATAGAAGTGTAGAGAGGGTGTGCTAACGTGTTGTATTATATACGTGTGTAAGGGGTTAATAATTAATTTAGAGTACACTAGATTATTATTATATAGATTTATATATATTACTATAATTATATTATTATTACTTATTATAACTAACGCTAATAAGTTATATTAGCTTACGTAGATTTATACTATATCCTTTTATTTACCTACTCCTCTATATACTAGAGTATAATAGTTATATTAATAGAGTAAGATATAAATATCTAGGAATACACTCTTACTAACCTATATTAGCTACACGTAGTTTATGTTTACTAAAACGCAGTTATTATATAACCTAGATTAGTATATAAGTTATACTAGACTAGGAATTAACGTAGATTAATATAGTAACTATAACACTATTTAAGAGGATAATATTATAAGTTACTAAATTTAGGGGTAATAACCTATCTACTATACTATAGTATTCTAAAAGTAGGGTAATCTATCCTTTAAATACCCTATTAACTATATATTACACGTTAATATATTTTCCTAGGCTAGGTATAGAACTAATATATATTAGCTTAGGATAGAAAATAGGGCTATTATATATATTAGTTAACTACTATAAGATATAGTAGTCCCTACTATAGAAAGCCTAGTTATAGAAGAAGAGGCTCTGTATCTTTAATAGTACACTATTAAAGTTAAGATTATCTTTATAGAAGCTTTTATTTAATTTAGTATTAATAAACTTATAATAGATACGTTATATATAAGCGTAATATAATAGGATATATTAAATAAGTATATTATATAATTAAAGAATTACTCCTTCCTATATAGATAAATCTAGTAGCAACTAGATAACCTATATAAGGAGAAATAGATTACCCTCCTATATAGTATCCTATAGAGAACTGCGTATCTATTATAATATAGCAAGTTTGTATCTTAGATAGTATATCTTATAGTATAAAGCCCTTTAATAGTAGATAATAATAAGCTAACTATACTATTAATAGGCTGTCTTACCTAAACTACACTAGTTAGACTAGCTTTCTTTTATATAGAATAGTAGCAATACAGTCTTATAGTAGCCTAGAAACCTTTCTTAGAATATCCTTAGTCTATAAGGCTAACTAAGGTATAAGGAGGAGAAACTAATACTAAGTAAAGATTTAAGTAGAGTAGATTATATAGAAGTAGCCTAAGCTAGTCCTACTTCTATTAGAAAGAGGTTAAAAGAGTCTCTATAACGCTTAAAAAGGCTACTATAAATAGTATCTAACGCCCCTAATTTACTAGCTTATACTTATTTATAGTAAGAAACCCCTTTAATTATATCTCTATTATAAAGTCTTAAGAGATAGCTAGGTAAAAAGAATCTCTACTACTAGCAAGTAAATATTACTAAATACTCTAAAGGAAAGAAAGACTGTAAGTAATTAAGAATATAAGGTTGTCCCCTAATACTATAGAGAGATTAAGTTTAGGTAGTCTAGGCCCTACTACGCCTATAATAGTCTAATCTACACTAAGTAATACTAAAGATAGGTAG